CACAAAATGTTCTTTTTCAAGATCTTACACAAGTAATCATATAAAAGCCAAACTAGAGGGTCGAAGATTCGGCTTGGGGTCTAGTGGACTGCTGGCCCACCATGCATTAGGCCATGTGCGCCATCTGCAGATATTAAAACAAAAATTAAGGGAGAAAGAGATACTTTCTTTCTCTAAGCACATAAGAGCACTTGGCATTACTGAAGCTATAGCTTATCTGACTGCACACTCTAAGCTAGAAATAGTGTGGTCATAATCTAGAACCTTCTTGTCTGCTTTCCACCTTGCCAAAGCATCATGGGAGGTCTTTTTTTTTTTTTTTGAGAGAGGGAGAGAAAGGGAAGAATTCTAATTCCATGTCTTTAGGGTAAAAATAATTCAGATAAATTTGGGAAAAGAGAAACTGACTAGAGTGGGGTAAGTGCTTCTCTCTGGAGGCCAAAGGCTAGTTTTAGTATCCCTGTACTTGGAGAATTCAGAGCAGTGCCCAGCTCCCCATCATGCCATTAGAGAGAGCAAGATCAACTGCTGGCCTCAGTACACACTAAGGAACACCACAGTCACGTAACGACTCTGGGCTGATAGACAAAAAAGAGAGAGAGATAAGGCAGGACCCAATACTCAAATTTCAACTTGTTTTGGGAAGACACAGACTTGAACAGGTGCAAAAGCCTGAGTGCTGGCTGTAGCAAAAGGCAAGGGGCATGCATCTTTGAGCAGTGTTTCTGAAATCAAGGGCCCTGTGGTAGATAGAATGCAACTTAGGAACAAACCCTGTGGCAAGATCACAGCCAACGGGTCACATCAAGTCTCTGGTCTTCATCTACCAACAATTTCATGAATCTTCTTCGGGGGAAAAATGTGCCACCTTTTCTGACCTGCGGGTCCTCTGCCCTTCTCTGCCAACAGTGGCACTTCAGTGTCCAATGGAGTTTTATCTTGAAATACTTCTTCTGGCCTTCTTGACAGTGATATCTACTACCTGGAGCCACACAAGACCAGAAAACAGTAACCAGGCAAAGTCACATTCTTGTCTCACACTTAAACCTGAGAAGCCAGGTGGGAGAACCCAAGAGCCAAGATGTGTAAAGCCCGTGGATGGAGAGGGAAGTCACAGACCATCCCACACATATTCCCAACTATAGCGGCCTCCAGGGCTCTGCATCCATGTGGACAGAATCCAGCAGGGCACACAGCACTGCTCAATTGGAAATACAGGAGGACACCAAAAGTGTGACCTTAGGTCATAAGTCAGAACGTTGGTGTGAGGGGCACAGTCAGGTTCCTTCTTCACACGGGCTTTGTGTCTGTTTGGAGGTGACTAGCCAGGGGAGCGGACCTACAAGGATTACATTACAAAGCCTAAGGTACTTAACTCTCTGTGATGGCATCCAACCTCAGGGTTGGACTGTCTGTGTCGTATTACATCAGAGAACAGTCTCTCCCAATGCCTTCTCTAAATACAAGGTCAAAAATTTCTAGATATTTAAGATTATTGCCTCTGAAATATACCCAGGTAGATGAGAAGTGCCAGTATTTTTCAAGTGCTTAGTAAGGGACTAGGCATTTCATATGATTAAGTCTTTCAAGTCTAACAATTCTAAGAGATTGTTATTAATATACCAAAGTACTGTACACATGCTAACAGTGTCTGAGGCTCAAAGATACTATGAACCTATGCAAAAGACCACTTTAAGAGTTAAGTGGCTTCATTCCTGATCTGTCTTTGCCCAATACTTTCTTTCAATTCATTGCCTTGAGGAGAAAGCAATTCATTAATAAAAGTGCAGCCTCTCCTAGGCACTGAAGGGTAGCATCGAAGAACAGGACCCTGAAACCACAACTCTTAATAGCTGTGTGACCTTGGGTATTATACTGAACTTCTCTGTGCCCCGGGTTGCCTTTACTACATATTCAAGTGCTACAACATTACCCCAGTGAGGGAGTTGTGAGGATTAAATGAGTTAATATGTATGAATATACATCCAAAACTGTGCCTGTTCCATATTTCAAGGTTGCTTAGTTATATACAATTACTAGAATTGATTAGTGTCAATTTGCTTAGATCATAAGACATTACTTCTAAAAATGGAGGGGGCTCATGAAAGAGAGAGCTGGGAGAGAGATTCCTTCAGATCCTACCACCCCAGCACTTTGAGAAGAAATGCTTAAACTATTGCTCTCTGGTAAGAGTGTTATAGTTCGAGGAAGCCATGTGGCTTTTATTCGAACTTCAGCACGTATGGTAGGTCCCTGCAGTGGAATCCACAGGAAGACGAAGTGGGTCTCACTACAGCCAACTGGATTTCCCTTTAGGGCTAAGCAGAGATGTGGCCTGCGCAAGTCTCCAACATGACTGACTTGTCTTCTACTGTGTTAGGCAAGATCTGGGCACCTAAAGACAGGCCTGACTTTCTAAGCATTCAAATCATGCTGCAGAGGAAAAATGAGATCCTGAATTAGTAACCCAGGAAAGCACCAAGAAAACTGAGTTCAGGGGGGTTTCTTCCCTGCGGGAACACTCATTTTCAGTTTCTGGAACCAAGTCTCTCATTCCCACCCCAGGTGGTTCATGGTGTCCCTCTGCTCTGGAGGCAGGAATCCCAAGGGAGCCTGGGTCTGACCCTATGATTGGCTCAAAGTCAGAACACAGGGCTCAGTCTGGATCAAGAGCAGTCTGTTCAGAGCCTCCCTTGAGAAGTAGGGGAAAGAGATGTGCTGTGGGACTGATAATTCTGTGGGACATAAATCTGTGTTCTTCAGTTCTACTCTGAAAAGATTCAGGATGAAGGTAGCACACCAGAAAACAGAGCTGATAAGTAACGAAAACTCCAAAAACCCTGATCAGACATCTGGATCCTAACCTGCTCAAGGCTAGCTATGCTCTTGGACTCCCCAGTCTACACCAGCTGATTTCCACCCCTGCCTTTTTTCTTATGTCAATTCATGTCAGGTTTGTATAACTTGCAAATAAAGTCTTCTGAAAAAAACACATAAATAAACACTAGGAAATAACTAAACAATTTTGCCAGTTGATAGCGGGCATTCCAGTTCTACTGCGCAAACAGGAACCAAGAACAAGTCAAGCCAGGTGCAAAACCACAATAAAGAGTAAAAGCGTAAAAGCCAGGCTCCTACATCCTGAGAGGTAAATGGGACGCTTTTTATAGGGCACAAGTCTGGGCTCCAATTCCAATGACCTTTAGCTTTGTTTTGTTTTTTTCCCTTTAGTACTAGAAGTGGTTTGAAATTATTCCCTTCTTCTTTCCCTTCTTCCCTTAATTCCTCCTCCTCTTCTATGTCTAGATTGAGAGAGCTAGCCATACCTTGTCAGTTCATGTAATACCTGAACCTTTGATCTGAAGAGTAGTAAGCTAGAAATACTTAGACCACTAATGAAAAATTTTAAATGGGTCCAACTGGGAAACTAGCAATTCCCTTTCTGCCTCTAGAGCTGATCCATATCACCCAGAGTGCTGACAGCAGTTTTACCGTTTAAGATTTTATAAACAAAAAATCATGTGGACCAATGCTTGTCAGTCATTCTACAGGCAAGTGAAATCAGCAAGATATTTACTCAACATTGGTGCAGAAGGAAATTAGAACTTAAAGTGCTTCCTGCCCCATTCTTTTCCTCCTGTTGGATAAATACCATTAAGCAAATGATAGGTGATAGACAATAAAACAGATTCCATAAGAGAGCTATACAGAGGACAAAGCTTATCTGAATCACGTATCTGAATGCTAATAATATTCATTGGAAAGGACTGTTGCTTAGGTTTAAAGTATCCTGCTCTTGATGTTGATACTTACCAGCAATTTCGAACATATCTTTTAAAAACTTTAACTATATTCTTCAATGACTAGACAATCCTCTTAAAGTGAAATGTTCAAACTAGAAGCTATGAAATAAGTTCAAAGGCTTCTATGCATTATTAATAACAATAGTCACCAAAACTTGTTTATAGGTACTACTAGACATATCTCCAAGGGTTGATGTAGCACAACATTTGTATCTGGGTCCATAAAGAGAGATACAAAGTATGGTCTAATCCCAAAGAGATCATACACAAAGGAAGCCTGCATTGCAACCATCCACCTCTATTTTTGGGGACATGAGTGAGAAAATCTTCAGAAAAAAAGACTCCAAGCACCAACTCTGTAAGCCACCATGTGCCCCACATGTAGATGCTGTAAGTGAGCATGCTTCCTTGTTGTAAGATATATGCTAAATATGAGGTGGTATTGTACTCAGTCCCTAGATCAACGATTCAATCATCTTATACCACAGTGATGCCAAATATTCAGGAGAGTCAGTCTTTTAACTGCTGGTAACACAGGTGAGGGAGGGGAATATTAAGATGCAGTGCAGAGGGACCCATTCAGTATACAGAAGAGGAACAGAGTGTTTAGGCAGAGGCTCTACCAGCACCAACATTCAAGAAGAGATAGCCCAAGTTTTCATCATACTTCAGCTGAGGGAATTAAACTCACAAAGCTCTCCTGGTAACCACAAAGATATAAGCAGAAGCTGAGGCCAATGCAGGGAGGCAAGAACAAAGATGGTGACACTGCCTCAGCATCCTTTCCTAAGGTTTAACCGTGTCATTCTAAAGAAGGCATCCCATCACTGAACTGGAAAGGACCAGTCACTGGCACCAATTTTATCAATTTAGAGTGAGTCTGACTGTAATCTATACGAAAATGAACAAAAGAAGTAAAAACTAAATTATCTCAATTCCGGGTTTTCTTTCAAAATCACTACTGTTTTGAAAAACAGACAAATACAGATTCTTACTAAAAGTATTACAGCCTTTACATTTAAGACTCTTTGCTTTTATGGGGCAGCCATCCAATATGTTTCAACTTCCATGAGAGTGACTTGAAGGCCACTCTCAGAAGGGCTGTATGAAACGCTCCATCAGGAGAGCAGCTAAGGACTGACAGCAGGAGGGAACGATTGTGTGAAAGTAAAAGACAAAGCAGGCAACCCTCCTTACTTTAGAAATGATGGGAAGTCTTCACACACTGCTTCACAGCCGGGCCACTTGCATACACCATGTCCGTAGAGAGGATGACTATGGGGGTGTTCCTCGTGGGACAAGCTGGAAGAAAACATAGAAGACAGGAGAATGAGTGTGCTACCAAAACCTGTCCCCCAGGAGAGGGAAACACGGCCTAAAGAGCCCACATGGCCCAGAGAGCATGAGATTGTCCTTCCCCACATAGCTCTGACTGTCCTTAATATGTAGACCAGGTTAGCCTTGAACTCACAGAGATCTGCCTGCCTCTGCCTTGGAATGCTAGGATTAATGGTGTGTGCCACCACGTCTGGCTATTAATCCAGCTCTATTTTTTTCTAAGCAACAGTGAATCCATAAAAGTTAGAATATTATGTTCTAAGTATATTTAGGTATAAATACCTAATAATGTTAGAAACCTACCTCTATGATGTGTGAAAAGTGTTTGGCTGGTTTTTGTTTGGCACAAGGCAATGTACCCATTTTGATAACAAAATGGTAAGATCTGTACTGGATTTGGGAGTCTCCTGTTGTGTTTTCTACCCAGAGTATTTTCTATTGCTCCCTCTTCCCCCTCCCTGAAAATGGCTTTCACAAAATTGAATATCTTTTTTTAACAAATTAATCTATCCAGCAAAAAAATGGTATAAATAAATAATGTGGAATAATAAAAACTAATTTAGCAAGACAAATATACATATCATCTACATAGATCATCAGCTTTGTGGTGTCAGGAAGCTTATATTCCTGAAGTCATTGACACTACTTGGCATGAGCAGGAAGGGGTTAATGCTCCAGTGGGGTTCCAATCGATACATAATGATCTGGCCACGCAGATCAAGTCATGGGACGCTTTGATCTGCATCACATGGTGCTGAGGGAAGAGTCAGTTGGGCTCCATGATAAGCCGTATTCACAAATATTTTCTCTTAGGTTTCTGTAACCAGATTTCTTTCAGACAAATTATTTTTACAGCCCTCAGATTCCACCAAGAAATATAAAACATTGAGAATACATGGACACACTTCCTTCATGTGAGTGGAGGGCCCTTTTGCTGCCTCTGTATGACTTCGAACT